ATTTATGAAATACATGTATTCTGAAATACAAGTTTTCTTTAAAATAAGCTTTTTTCCCCCTGTGAAATACAATTATAAGAATTACTATTATTATGAAAAAAAAAATTTTTCAAAGCAAACTGCGATCTTGTATGAACTGGGCATTTACCGGGAAGATCATTCACAGACAAAAAATGTTCCCCTCGTTCGTGTCACCGGATAGTACCATCATCTATAACAGCAGTCATAGTAATGAACAACCCTTTTAGACTGTCGCTTCAGTTTAAAATATTCTTCATATTTCACGTATTTTAACTTAATTATGATTAATATCAGTGTTAAAAGTCTCGTGTTTTTTTTTCGGGAGGAAAAATGTTGTACATGTAGTCCAAAGATTGTCCAGCTGTAATCTGGATTAATTAAAATAGCAAATTCTAAAGGTAAGAAGACTTAACTTTGTCAGAATTGACAATCTTCGAAAGTTCACTGCCATAGAATAAAAATATTTCATTAAATCATAGCCTGTATACAAAATATTGATCATAAGATTTTTAATTTTTATTATTCAGAAACACGCATTGGTGTTATATCCAGAAGTAATCACGTGATCTTGCCCTATGAAGAGATAGTCAAACTTGGGCACGGTTTTTTGATAGATAGATTGTCAGGCCAGACTTATAAATCACAGAGAACAATCACATTAGTCAATTTTATCTATATCCTAGGTATACACCTTTTACCTCATGTCGAAGATCTGTTTTTAATCTGATATTCTCAAAAGAAGGCATTCAAGCATAGAACAAAAAAATTATGTAACTTTAAATACTGAGTCTAGATAAAATAGTTAAATCTGAGCCAACAAGGGTATAACATTTCAAGTGAGAGTCCTTAAAAAGCCACACAGTATCTTAAAAAAATAACTCTAGACTGAAACGCTAATAATAGTTTTGGCTTTGGCAATATAAAACACCATATATTTGTGCTTGTGTACTTAATTGTAACCGATTTTTCCCCTCCAAAATACTAATCTATGCATGAGCTATCTATCAAATTTAAGCTCTCTAGCTTCCATCGCTTTAAAAGGAAATATTACGGTGTGGAAATTATAATATCACAGATGTAAATCGCTCGCCAAAATTTCTAGGCATCATTGACAATTCCATTCAGGAGGCTTAGAATCATTTTGAAATTAGAATTTCATACTTCGTATAATAAGTAAAAATAACAATAATACAGCAGGTAATTTTATGAGAAATTTTAAGATTGTCACATACATTTGGTGATTAATCATAAACCCGTTATTTGCTCTTCTTTAATCATTCATAGATATTTAAACTGGTGGAAAATTAAATAATAATGAATATATTCGTCATATCAGCTAGCAATAACAGTTTTATTCAATCTTAAAGAAGAAAAAAATGTTATTGTGCGCTGAAACATGGGCTTCTTGATAGACATTATATATACTAGGCCAACACCCTTAAAAAGTAAATAAAAAGCAAACAAGGACAAAGTCTACATATATTTATTCATCCCAATATGTAAACACTAACTCAGATTCAATGTTAGCTTTCTATTCATTATTATAAGAAGAAAGATAACTGCAACGAAATGTCTTTAGTATGTACTCCATGTATGAAAAGTTGTTGATGCCAGTAGGATAAAAACATATTTTTTTTCCACTCATGGGACAGTGTACACGAAATGACCACGTATAGTGTGCCTTCTTCAGTCTTGACACTTGCAGCTCTATGAATAATTGCTACATTTTTGTTTTGTCCATCTTTTTCCTCTAGATGACAAAAGGTTGCTAAAGGTAAAATCCTCTTAACAATGAAAGTTTGCCACACATCCGAGTGTAACTGGTAAACACTGTAGAAACAACTCATTTGTAAAATTCCTATTTATTCAATTGTTAAACTTAGTGTATATAAAGGTACAGAAATAAGATCAAATTAAATAAAAAAAAATCCTTCCTGGCTGAGTTTATTGACCTATAGATATATATTGGAATATCGGTATATTTCATCAAAGAACCTACTATGATATTTCTAATTGGCACATATATTTAAAAAAAATGCCAATTTGGAGGACAAGACGATTGTTCGTCAAGGAGGGGAGGGATCAATTTTCCATCTTTACACATTTCATAGGAATGAAGAACCACGATGATAATTCCACCAAAACCCATTGCAACGATTCAAGAAAGACCTTTTTGTTCCTTCTCTAGCCGCTGTATTGTCCAGGTTAGTTAAAATGGTACTATTGATGCAATTACGAAACATAACTATACTACTTTACAAGATATAAGATGGTTAAGTTGTGTCCTGTTTTAAAATTTTTTGCTGTATGAAATTAACAAAAAATCGGACTTTTACGCTTTCAACCTGTTATCTTTTTACATGAGTACACGTTTATTCCTTGATGAAAATGTTTTTCTCAGTCCTAAATTGGACTAACTCAATGCCTTAGGGCTACATTTATCTAGTAAGCAGAAGTAGAAATATCTAAAGAGCAAAATCAAAATCTTCCGTAAACTAGTTTTACTGCAAATTAACAATGTTAATGCCAATTTCTTATAATGTCAACGTCATTTCAAAGAGAATTTCTTTTCCTTGCAAATTCTATATTTTGCTGATTTGTTGATCAGTAAATGTGATAATGCAAGGAAAAAGGTTGCTGTATTTCAAGAAAAAACACTGATGCCTCTGTATGACAGTTCACTGTGAAGGTTAAAGTTTCTCAAATGCAAGTCAAATCCAAGGTCAAGAGATAAAAAGATGTTGGTACTCAAAGAAAGGTCTTGTCGCAAGGAATACACTTGTGAAATATAAAAGCACCAAGTTTCAAAAGTTATGGCCAAGGTTACAGCTTTTCAAAAGTAGGTCAGACTCCAAGGCCAAGTTCCAGAGGTCAAAATTAATGGTTCCCAAGGGAAGGTCTTATCACAAGGCATCCACAAGTGAAATTTGAAAGCCATAGCACCAACCGTTCAAAAGTTATGGCCAAGGTTAAAGTTTGGTGAAATTTTGCAGATGTTGGTCAAACTCCAAGGTGAAGGTCAAAAGGTCAAACTCCAAGGTGAAGTAATAAGAGAGCTCTAGTCACAAGGAATATGAAATATGAAAGCCTTAGCTCCAACCAATCAAAAGTTATGGGCAAGTTTAAAGTTTTTGCGGAGAAACTGACAGACACACAGACGGACAGAGCAAATACTATACGCCCCGAATCTTCGATTAGGGGAGCAAAAATCTATTTCTTGCGAATGACAAGATCGGCTTATAATGGTCACAGTTCTCTCTTTATTTGTAGAAATACCCTGCACTTTACAAGCCGGATTTAGAAGTTTGATGTCAAGTTCATACATGGCAGAGAGTTCCTGAAAAATAATATACACGCTTCCTGTCAAGTACTTGAATTGAAAACATCCTGTACTATAGTGGCATTTTTCTGCATATATACAAGTTTCTAAATTTCTATGTCAAGATGCAGAATAATTTTGCCAATATCCAAATAACTTTCTTGAAATGCAAGAAAAATATGATCGAATAAGAATTTAGAGAATTTTCATTAAGTATCAAATATTGCTGATATGACACTTCCCAAATGCAACTGAAGCTTATTCATTCCGACATACAGCTTATTTAGGTAGACATGCAACCTTCTTATGTTGACAGGTAACTAATATTGACAGGCAACTTATTTATTTAGACATATGCATACAACTATTTTATCTGGACATGTAACTTGTTCATGTCGAGGTGTAACCTATGAAGTCAGCTTGCAAGAAAGTGTAAAGTTTGTAATGAAAAGATATGAATAGTTAACATAATATGTTTGTTTATCAATAAAAGTTATATGTCAACATAAGTAACTTACATGTTGACATGAATTAGTATTAAGTTGCCTCTTTAAAGTTCGATACTCATATTGGCTATTTTTTGATAATTTTTTCTAATTCTTAATTTGATTATCTAATTCTTGAATGTCAGCATAGCTATATTGTATGGTGACTTAAGCTATATTGCGATTGTGTACATATTGGATAGAAGTATGCCAATTTACTCGAACATGATGTCAAATATAAAAGTTCTGTTTGAAGTAATACTGATCGGATTAACTAACATACTACATGTATGTACAACTGAAAAATGAATATATTTATTGATTACTATAAGCAATGCATATAATTTTATTACTGGCATTTCTTTATAAACCTAATTAATCTAAACAACATACGCTACATTCTTTCTCAACTTCCATTCTCTGATAAATTAAATTTTTGTGGAAATTGTTTCACTCACTTTCACATTACATCTGTAGTGAGCATTTAACAGTAACAGGATATTATATACATCGTGTTTACAAAATCGGAACCACTTTAACTAAGTGGTCACATAATATGATTGCAATTAGATATTTTGATCAACAGTGGTAACAACGTAAATGCAGGCATCTTCTGAATTTACATTATATAAGTCCTGCCATATCCAATATTCCATGGATATACAATAACACCGTATTGTTCTTGGGTATCGAGTATCATTTTATAAACACCCTTCATTTTCAATGGATGTTTACAGAATAATATTTGATATCTGTACATTTTATGTCGTAAATTTCACAGGTAAGATTGCACATTTCCCTTTCATTAAAAATGTTCCCCCGAGTTTCTGTAAAAATAAAGTCCAAGATTTTCTGTGGATGAATAAAAAACCCTTTTCTTATAGGCAATATTATAGGTAATTTTTATTATTATTATAAATCTTATAGGTAATATTAGACATATTACGTATAAAATAACTCTGTAGTAATTTTACTCGTAGAAAAAGACAAATTCTAATTGATATGATTCCATATGCTATTTAGCAAAGGTCCTTGACATCCCGGCAATTTTTTTGTGTTGTTACATATTTTGTAATGCTTAATTAACTTAGTAAGAAGCCTTTCGGAACTTCTCGATGTTTTTACTGCTGTATACACTACTTTCTGTTTGTGTATGTGTCCAGAAAGATATCTTGTGTATATAGCAAAGTGACATTAAAATTATCTGCAGTAAGTTTACAAAATATAGAAGAGTTCAGAAAACAACAATTGAAGAGAGGTAAGGGTATAGCATGTCTACGTAACTTGTTAGGTTTTGTTGATCTGATCAGGTCATTTAGTATGAGCACTCTAGCCCAGTAAAGCCGTTCAGCTTTAAACTTGCATCAAAATGTTCACTGGATAAAACTATTTATATCGCCTCAATCCAAGCGGAACAACACATTAATAACAAAATGTTTTTATAACATTTCAGGTGAAAGTAAATAGGACTGAAGAGGACGAAAGCCAAGACGCAAACTTAAATGAAAACTATATATATAAGTCAAATGCTGTTTACTTCGAACATTTTGACTTACCCCATGATGCCACTAGTTATGACAATGATTAATGCAAACTAAAGATTACTGTATAATTGTTACATCAAGTTGATCGATTTTCAAGGCATGAAGGTCAAATATGCGAATTTCCCAAAATTCATACAATGAAAAAACCGATTGTGCTTCTAGCAGCCTTCATAAATAACTTTCTTGGAAGTAGTTTGGGGTATTCAGCGGGAATTATCCATTTTGGACTGCTGGAAAAATTCCCAGAATCTGCTTCCAAAGTTGCCCTGGCAGGTGCTCTGTTCACGAGTGTTTTCTGTTTAGCTGGTGAGAAATCTAACTGACCTTACATCCACTTGACAAACCATAATTGTAAACCTACTTAATAAATCAAGTATACCTAAAAAAAATCATTAAAATTCATTACAATGAATCTTTAAAGTTAGAAAGTCGTGAGACAAATTCAAGTTTGAATGCCTATGATTTACAAAATATATGGACTACTTTTATATTTCCTTCTAATTCCAGCTCGGATAAGTATATATCAAAATGTTCATGATCTGTCTGACATATTTCAGGTCCTATATCCACCACTGTGATCAATACACTATCCTGTAGGTCTGCTTTGTTCATTGGGGCATTCCTAAACTTTGCTGGCTTCCTGGTGTCAAGTTTTTCATCAAACATAGAACTTGTTGTATTCTGTTATGGGATTATTTCAGGTTTGTTGAACATAAAAAAGAAAATATTAATCAAAATAAAATATTTTTGTAGGCACAATGTACAGTATGGTTGCTTTGAAGAGACAATTTCTATCCATTTCATGAACTACATACACTTTAAATCACAAGGAGAGATGTTCTAACCTTTACAAAGCTATGTCTTGTCTTTCAGGAATCGGTCAGTCAATGATGTATTCCGCCAGTGTCTTAGTCGCAGGCTACTACTTCCACAAAAACGTCAGTGTAGCTACTGGGGTGGTGGTGTCAGGGACAGGCTTGGGTGTAACAGTGTTCCCCATGTTTACCGAGTTCCTCCTGAGGGCACACGGAATTGACGGAACCTTTCTCCTTCTCTCAGCAATCAGTCTCCAGACATGTGTTTTTACTATGTGCATAGGAATTCATGAAATAGAACGAGAAAGAAAAAGTCCTCAAAAATTCTCAACGAGGTTGAAATTAGTAGTATATGACCTTAGAAAACTTTCCTCCAATGGTGCTTTCTGTCTTCTATGTATTAGTATTTTATGTTGGAGTACAAGTTTGAATACGTCTGTACTTTTTCTGCCAGATTACTATAAAAGTACGGGTTCTTCAGAGTTGCAAGCTGCCTCATTAATGTCTATATATGGAGTATTCAACTATTTCTCAAGGGTAATCACTGGTTTAGCAGCATCTGATGATCAAGTAGACGGAAAAATATTGTATATGGGATCATTTGTCATATTGTCTATGTGTACAGCATTACTGCCTATGGTTGGGACTTCTTTCGCAGGGAAGGTGTTTTATTCAATAGTACTCGGACTGTATTCTAGTGGAGTCTGGTCGCTCTTAACGACTATAACAATTGAACTTATTGGTATTAAACAAACATCAACAGCATTTGGTATTGAAATGCTGACAAGTGGAATAGGTTTTTTATCTGGACCAGTAATCGGAAGTACGTAATAATTTTGAGTTTTCTGTGACATAATATGAAAAATGTACATGAATTGTTTTAATTTATTATCATTCTTACAGATAATATAAAAGAAGTAAGTGGGGGATATTCTCTTGTGTTTGTGATCTCTGGTAAGTTCTCTGTTTTGTCATTATTTTCTCTGATGAAGTGTCAACGATATCATGCGGAAGACTTCACATTTATAATAATTTCATATTTGTTTGTCTGATTAAATGTATACTTTTAAAACGCAAAGGGTTTTTAATGTAGAAGAAAAAAGTTTTTGAGACAAAAGAGTGGCTATTAAACTAGATTATGAGCATGTTTTGTTTGTCTGTTTAATGTCCCTTCGAGAAATTTTTCACTCATATTGAGACGCCACCACTTGTCGATGGAAGGCTGCAAATCCAGACCTGTATTCTGCAATTACGGCCTTTGAACAGAGAGGGATCTTTTTTACGTGCCAGCACCTACTGCGACACGGGACTAGGTTTATACAATCTCATCCGAAGGACCTGTCTCCGCGTCACTCAGTGGATTTGAACCAGCGACGTAAGGATCAACTCCTTACCACGCGATTCTAGAGTGATTATGAGTAGCATACGAAACATGTTGATGCAAAAAAGTGTGTATATGTGTATGTGCCTTGTCCTCCCCAACATTTTAAAATTTTTCATTTAACTATTTTTCCTGCTTTATTTATTAAAAAGAATTCAAATGATTGTCTCGTGAGTTTGATAGAATTGTCATTTGTAATGTTTGTTAATGTAAGAAATGGTTGCGGTATGCCAAAGTTATATAAAGAATATATCAACATAAAAATAATCGACGTGAACAAATTCTTTGCTTTACTTTCACAGGGATTCTATATATGATGGCTGGCGTGTTTGAAGTTTTTATGATTTTGACAATGAGAAAATCTGGTGTTCTTCAGAGCAGTGAAGAGCAGAGAAGAAGTATTGAAATAGAGGACACAATGATAAGGAATGGAAATGAAGAATTAGAAAATAACAAATCTGATGAAGAAGACGAAAGAACCATAGAAATTGAAGAGAGACAGAAATTAAAATGAAATTCCACTGGAAGCCACAGATTGTGTTTGTTAATAACTATTGTGTACCTGCATCTTGACATCATCGTAGACAGCCTTTTATTACTTCCACCTTATTAATAATGTAAAGAATTTAAGAAAAACACGATTAGCGAATCATTGACGGAATCACGTAGTCTATAAAGTCACAGACAATAAAAATGTCTAATTCTAGCTGTAAAGACTGAATTATTTTAAATATGTGTGGAAAAATTGTAGGATATCACAAATATTGATGAGGTACATTTAATATTTTTTTTAATGATATCAAATTATTGATGAAATATGAAGATAACGAACAATATTCAATCTCGAAAGTCCAATGAAACGATACAAATTTGGAGCAGAGCAAACACGGACCTCAAAATTTAGAGGTGGGATCAGGTGCCATGGAAGAGTGAGCATCCCTTGCCAACCGGTCACACCCGCCGTGTGCTCCTTGTCATGATCGCGAAAAAACGGAAAAAATCCGTAGACAGTTCAGTGTATAAATAATGGCCTAACAATTATTATGAAAAAAGTCAGTCAGCATTTGACTCAATGATAGGTTGTATGTACTGACAAGGTCATTGTATCGACCGTAAAACTTGCAAAAAGATGACTTCAAACGAGAATGTTGATATCCTTGTTTCATCAACTTGTTTGTCAATAGCTTGCCTCGTTTTAGAAATTGTTCATACGTAGAGCATGCCCTTGCGTATCAAATCAACTGAGAGACATAAACCCCATATGAGGGGTTAAGGATATATTGCTACATAAGTAAGGGAAGCTGACGATTGAAAAGTTGAAGTCATCGCGTTTATCATGAAGCTTTGTTGTAAGGTTACCATTAACGTCTTTTTCTAGTAAAATATCTAAATATGCAACAGATGTATCAGAATCGGTGGTATCTTTCATTTCAAGCTCACTGGGATATTTCGAGTCGACATATGAATAGAAGTAACTATTGTTAATTGATAATACGTCGTCGATATATCGAAGTGTCGAGTTGAAGGCTATAGCAAGTGTTTTCGTCTTCTCATGTAGAAGTTTTTGAATAAATTCTGCTTCATATGAATACAAAAATAGGTCCGCTAATAAGAGGGCGCAATTGGCATCCTTGGGATTTCCAACAGATTGTTGGAAGACCTGATCTCCGTAAACTACATAGATATTGTCAATCAGAACCTCAAGCATCACTTTATTTGTCAGTACATTGCCTCGGTTTTAAACTTGATTGTACTCAGAGCATAATTTGTGCCCATGGAATTACAATAGATTGTTGGGAGACCTCATTGTCAATAGTGAAGCCCGGCATCTTTTAATATCAACTTTAGAGTACTTGCTTGTAGAATCAGAATGATTTTTCACAAAGTAATTTTGCAGTTGACCAATCGTAAGATATGAAAAATTGCCATTTCCATTTTCAGTGAAAAAGGGGTTGTCTTTGTGATGTCAAAAAGTTCGCTCTTTAATTTATCTCGGAATGGTTGTATAAAGCGTAGAAAGTCATATGTTACACCAATTCTTGAATATGTAGTTAGACACGTCTGAAGTTTCTCCTTCACAGCAATTAATATATTGGTAAGGAGTAAGGACAGGGGTTTAATTGAACATTCACTGAAATCTGCAATGTATCATTGTCTGTAAGGATGTTTATGAAGTTTTGGAATCCAGTATAGATGCAGTAGATCAAACCCAATTCCTTTCACCAGAACATTAAAAGTTTTTTTTTAAACTGAAAGATGCTTTTAAAGAATTCCATCTTTTGAAAGGAAACTCTGAGTATAGGATGGACTACAAGTGTAAAATTATACCGAGTTTTCTCTAAAATGCAGTTGAAATAATGAGATTATATTGTCACAAGTTTTATCACCTGGAACCAAAACATGTTTTTTATGCCCCCGTATCGAAGATTTGGGGGGTTTATAGTTTTTGCCCTGTCCGTCCGTCTGTCTGTCTCATAACTTTTGATTGGTTGAAGCTTTGACTTTCATATTTCACATGTGTATTCCTTGTGACAAAACCTTTCTTTTGGGTACCATGATATTTGACCTTTTTACCTTGACCTTGGACCCACTTTTACAAAATTTTACCCAACTTTCACCTTGGCCATAAGTTTAAAAAGGTTGGAGCTAGGGCTTTCATACATCACATGTGTAATCCTTGTGAAAATTCCTTCCTTAGGATACCAACAACTTTGACCCTTTGACCTTGAACTACGAGTTTTACGTACTTTTGAAAAACTTTAACCTTAAAATTGGCCATATCTTTTGAACACTTGGTGCTAGGGCGTTCATACTTCAAATATCTAATTCTTGTGACAAGACCTTCCTTTGGATACCAACAACTTTGACCCTTTGAACTTGACATGGAGTTTGACTTACTTTTGGAAAACTTTAACCTTGACCATAACTTTTGAACAATTGGTGTTAGGGCGTTCATTCTTCACATGTGTAATCCTTCTGACAAAACCTCCTTTTGGATACCAATAATTATAGTCCATTGACCTTGACGTTTGACCTACTTTTGGAAAACTTTAACCTTGGCCATTACTTTTGAACGGTTGGGGCTAGGGCTTTCATCCTTCACATATTTAATCCTTGTGGCAAGACCTTACTTTGGATACTAAGATCTTTGACCCTTTGACCGTGACCTTGAAGTTTGATCTACTTTCGATAAACTTTAACCTTGGCCATATTTTTTGAACGGGTGGTGCTAGGGCTTTCATATTTCACATGTGTATTTCTTATGAGAAGGCATTTCCTTGAGTACCATTTATTTTGACCATTTGACCTTGACCTTGATGTTTGACTTACTTTTGAAAACTTTTACCTTTTCCATATCTTTTCAATGGTTGCTGCTAGGCCTGTCATATTCCACAGGTATATTCCTCGGTACAAGACCTTATTTGGGTACCAGCGTATTTGATTTGCATTTGAGAAAGTTTAACCTTCGCTATAACCTGCCATACGGGGGCATCGGTGTTTCACAAATACAACTTGTTTATGTAGTCTTTCTTAACTTTTTTATCACTTCCGATCTACTGAAGACGCAAGGATAGATAGTTTTGCCCTTTAATTTTCTAATGCGATTCTTTATTTTATACGTATATCTAAAACATTAACTCCATTCTTACAGAGTATCAAGGTCTTCCCTTTCATATTAAGCCCATCGGCAAGCGTACTTCTCCACAGAATTCATGATAGAAATGAATTTCTATCACCATTTGAAAGATCAAGGCTCCCTGAATTTGGGACTTTTTAAAATGATAACTTTTAGGTCGTAATTTTGAACTATACTTACATCATAAGTAATGATGTGTCCAGCTGGACTAACGTTGAAAGAGAAAAAACAAGAACACATAGGAGAATTTTATTTTAGATGGTCAATATCTAGGCACTGTAAAGTTTGTTTATAATTGAAAATTTTGGATGCAACTGTTGGGAATTTTTTTATGGAGTTTTGGAATCCAATAAAGGTATGGTAATTTGTTTGAATTTGTTTGTTGGGAATAATAAAAATATTCAAAACTGAGATATGGTTTTTAAGAATTTTATCCTTAAAAAAGGCACAATGAATATGTTGGATTACCTTTAGTAGAGTCAATTCCAAGTTCCACTAAAAGGCCATTGTTGTGACTACATGTATATTCTAATCGCCGGTAAAGACGAGTTGTTATAGGTAGAGGAAGAGCATGTCAGAATCACCCCCCCCCCTCCCTTCCATTTTTTGGAAATCTAGCTTGTAGTGTTAGTTTAGGAAAATATTTATAAGGATATAACAAATTTATATATGATTGGACTTTAGATGGAAATTATGTCATTTATAAGATGGTGCTGAAACCCAAATTAATTTGAAGAATTTTTCAAACTTTCTCATATGTAGTGTTTGTTTAGTAAAAGATTAAGAAGGATAGATGGAGATTATATCATCTGAATTATAGTGGTGAAACCCTTATTTGGATAAATTTTCAAATTAACTCCTAACTAACGCATTTTTAGCAAAGATATTAAGAAAGATAATAATAGAATCATTCATTACTACGAGTGTGGGATAGTGAAATTCCACCAAGGGGACAAGATTCACGGTCTAGGACGAGGCTTTGCCGAGTCCTAGACCGTGAATCTTGGCCCCGAGGTGGAATTTCACTATTCCCACACGAGTATGTAATGAATGATTATTTTTCCAAAATCATTAATGAATGATTATTTTATCCAAAATAACGGCCTGTCAATGACGTCGCCATGATAGGGCTAAAAATATATTCTTTTAATTTTCCATCTAATTAAAAATCTAAATACACCATCGAAGAGAGCGTACCTGAAAATGGTTTACACATAGTGTTAACTGATAAAATGAATTTCAGTCCATGTAAATTAATTAGATAGATAAAAACTGGGAATAAAAAAACTTATCTATCCGATAGCGTACACATGCATTCAAGAAGAATCCTTCCGCGATCTAAAAAATGTGCCATTTAAAAAGTGAAAATACGACAATATTTTGAATGAAAATAAGTTTATCTTAATAAGTTAAATGACAACATTTTAAGTATATGTAATATTTTTTAACATTGTTACAATTTCTTTATATAAAGACGTAATGTTTACGTTATTGTTTGCGGCGTAGTAATACACAGTGTAAGACAGAAAAATCTCACACTGCTGTCTCACACCGGACAAGTCAATCTTACACTGGTGATTATGCGAGAAAAACATGTATTACACAGTTTACTTTGAGAGCAAAACAAATTAAATGCAATAAAAAATGAAGAGAGTACGTCGTTTTTAATAAAAGATTATTTCTATTATTTAAATTATTGTGACCGAGAGTACTGTAGTGATTGTGTGATAGAATATTAAGAAGGATATACCAAAAAGATTTATGATCAGAACGTAGATGGAGATGAAGATTATAAGTCATCTGTATTATGGTGTGAAACCCACATTTGAAGAAAGAACGTTTCAAACTCACTCATACTCGTGCATTTTGTTTAGCACAGATATTTAGAAAAAAAAAAGAAATCCATAAACAATTTACTTTTAGAACAAAACAATTTATTGCAATAAAAAGTGAAGAATATGTCATTTTTAATAATAGATTATTTTTATTTCTTTTATTACTGTGACCGAGAGTATTCAATCCAATTAGAAGGTTTTGATCATAGTTTGGAACTCAACAATCACTTGATC